AATCACTTATCTATGTAAAATCAATACATACATCCATCGTTTTACTCAGATTTGAAAAAAAAAACATTAATGTAAAACCAATAAATTCTTCAATCCGCTTTGAAGTAACTCTCAAAAACATTGGTTTAAAATTATCAGTGTTAAATGTAGTATAACTTGTAACTTCACTTTATACTATACTAACGTAATAACTCGACTTCACTCGTATGGGAATATTGGTGAATTTCGATTTGAGTATATCTCAGTATTATTGTAGCCTGTAAGTATCTCAATTCACGGGAAAATCTGCATCAGWGCACTTAGAATTTTATTATGAAATAGTTCGACCTAGATAGGCAAACTTAAGTCTCGGATTAGATTTAACCCTTGACATATTTTTTAACATGTTATAAACTCCTTACTATTTAAACTTTTTTCTAATATCTCTAAGAAAATGTCTAAGATTTACATCGAAATCAATTGATTAGTTTTTAAGTTCCTATATAGGCTACAAATATCGATTTGGTTTTAAGATACAGTTAAATTAATCGAAGTCATGTAAACGCGGTAATTTGATACACATTCTTGTGCCTGATCTGTCCGAGTTAACAATATGGTAACCATTTACATAAAAAAATTTCAATTTTCACCGTAAATCTCAAAACACTTGTTTAAGGACTTTATTAAAATGCAAATTTTGGACAATTCTGTCTTAACAGGTATTTACATCATAAAACTATAATGACTACATATTATACTCGTAGTTTCAGCGGTTCAGAATAGRCCATGGTAAATAAATTAGGACAAGTTATTTTATAAATATAGATTATATAGACATAGTGACCTACACATAATATATGGTACTTATTTTAAAATATATCAATATATTAACTCTTAAGCCACCTTTAATTGTTTTAGACGTATCAACTGTCTTTCGATTTTGCTACGGTGTTGGTCTAAAAACGCTTCAAACTGAGAATCCCCTCGTTTCAGCGTATTGACTTCAATCTCCAACAGTCTGAAACATATTACAAGTTACATTGTATATTTTACATTGATAAAAAAAAAA